TTGGCGGGAGGTGGCGACAGAGTCGGCGGCGGGGGACTGGGACTGAGTGCGGGCGGCTGAGTGGGCGTGAATGTAAGGCCCGCGACATTGTCGCCTGAGGCGGACATGAAGCCGGCTCGGTTGGTGTACGACATCAAGAAAAAGCCGTTGTCGCCCCAGGAGGTTCCCCAGCTGTTCTTGGCGATCCAGTAATGCCTGCGTGTTCATGCGTTACGTGTGTACGCACGGGTGCCGGTGGTGGTTGGACGGTTTGAACGGTTAATAAGCGCCGGCGTTGTGGGGTCGCCCATCAACCTTGGCGGTCAGGCAAGCAGCCCTACACGCTGCACCCACCCCCTTCTGGGCTGTAGCCAGCGCCCCTTTCTAGTCGCTTCCAAGATTCAACTCCTCGCATGCGCGGGCAGATATACAAATGCTGTCGAGGCCCCGCACATGCTGTCGCGGACATACATACATGCATACATGCATACACCTCGTGGATTCAGCTATAGCTAACTAGCAACCTCAACAAGACTGCACCCTCATAAACGCTTCCGAAACCACCTCGCTCGCTCCAAAACCCGATAGTACTGCAGCAGGGCTCCGGCAACATGTACATGCGTACGTACGGAAGCGTACGGGAATGTACGAACGCACAAATCCAGTGGCATTTACGTACCCAGTGTCATTGTATCCGATGCATAGAACCTGGTGATAACCCGATAATGCGCTCTTGCCGTCCCACACGTACGGCCTGTACGGCAGTACGAAGGAGCCGGGGATGAGTGGGTGGGTGGGAGGTTAAGCACGGTAAGTTGGCTTTAAGCGGGTAATAGGGTGTGCTTGGTGTTTGATGACACGGTGTTTGATGACACGGTGTTTGATGACCGGGGATTACATATGAGGATCATAACGGCTATAAGCTACAGGCATCTAGCCACCACATACTTCCCCCGCCCCGTCCATCTCCGCGTCTTAACACTAGGGTTGCATAGATTATTAGAATGGCAGGCGTTCTCTACTAATTCTAATATTATTTCTAATTAGAACGTTAGAAATAATATTAGAAGACCTGGGGTAACTTCTCAGGGAGGGGGAGTTTTCACTTCGGAGTTTCACCATGGTTACGGCAGATCCTAACCCAGGTGTTTTTAACGGTTTTTACGGGGCTACGACACCCGTAACCAGGACTTCTCAGCCAAACCCCCGGTCGAAGTGACCTCTGGGTCACTAATTTCGCCTTTAAACTGTCTTAGACTGTCTTAAACTGTCTCTGCGTACGCCTTCCCAACATCTTTGGTACCTGAACCAAGAGTCCAAGAGTCCAGTCCTAATTGTCTGCAAAGCAACACCCAACACACAGTCCGGACATGCCAAACCTGTCGCCCCAAAACTTCTGCTGCCTTGCTGTGCTTCTTAAGATGGTTGGGAGCTGTTGCAGACGGATTTTTGGCACCCAGCACCTCGCCGCAAATGGTGCACTTCAGCTTCACGACTCCTTCTGTCAAGATGACGGTGAAAAACGACCACCAGGAAGCACTGCCTCTCGCTTTTGCACTCTTCAGGGCTTCCGCGTAGGCTGGAGCGTCTAGCTCCTTGTTGCCATAAGTGTATGTTGCTTTAGGAGTCTTCGAAACTGGTGGTTTTGATGGCCCAGCATCAGCATCAGCCATTTTTCCTAGAAAAATGTGCCGTTGCAGGCTGCGGAGGCGGTCTGAATAGCCATTCTAATGGGTGTACGACATTAGAACGTTCTAATCTGTTCTCAAGGGGTCTTCTAACTTTCTCATTAGAATTCTAATTAGTTTAATTCTAATATTATTTCTAACTTCTAATGCGCCTGCAACCCTACTTAACACTGTAATTAATACCCGCATTCGAGGTAGGTTGAAGACTTACGCGGAGCCCTTCCTCCAGTTATAAAAATCGTTGTACACCGCAAAGTACGTCAGTACGGCGCCGTAAAGTCGTATGTGATCCTTAGCCTGGACGAGATGGGACGTACCGAGATGGGGGCCCCACACCACAAGATCAGATGCTGCAAGAAAGCATGCCGTCGTGAATGGATGTGAAAGCTGGTTTGTGGCGTGACAGTCACTTAGGGTGTGAATATAAATCCGGGCCCCTTGTGTATGTCTCTCAAACCTAGTGAGGTTGAGTACTGAATATAGAAACATATCATCGCCCAGACGGCGGTTTGCTAGATAGCTGGTAAGGTAGCAAACACGGCTACCACTACCACAACTACTACTCAGCTCATGCTTCGTAGGCCGTTAGATCGCTAATCCCCTGCCCCATTCAGGTATCAACATACCCATACCAACCCTTGCCTTTTCCTGTTCCTATCCTTACCTTAAATTCATCTGCACCTGCAACCTTCTTACCCCGTGGGGCCCCCAACACCATCCCTGAACCCCAACCCCCCCAACACCTTCCCTGAACCCCCCCTCCCCCAACACCTTCCCTGAACCCCAACACCTTCCCTGAAACACCCCCCCAACACCTTCCCTGAAACACCCCCCCCAACACCATCCCTGAAACACCCCCCCCCAACAC